TATGCTCTAAACTAATGATAACCGCGAGTGTAGAGGGCCGCGCCTAGGTGACGTAGGCAGGCGGCGCCCTAGTCGAAAATTTTTCTAGCTTTAAAAAGGCCTGTTGAGATAGCGCAGCGGGGACGCTACTACAACTATCCATCCGGACGAGACAGCATAATTACAATCGAACTTCACTTGTAAGTTCGTTTGATTGATCAATTTTAATGTAACTGGTAAATATTTTAATATTTTATTTTTTAATTAAAAAATATTATAAAACGTTGTAATTCTAATAAAATTCATTTGCTCACTTATTTTTACAAACTAAAATTATTTAAATTAAAATTGATATAATTTTTCATTGTACCATTTTTATCAATTTTTGATACACATAATTAAAAAAGAATTTTAGTCATTTGAATTTAGTCTTCACAATGCTATTAAATTACAAAACTACTGAAATATCGAGATATTTCAAAAGCAATCTATTATTATATTATTATGTAACAATCCCCAGGTAGAAATTTTGTCTGGAAACAATCAGGACTCCATATATTTTTTGAAAAATATTTCTGTGATTCAGGTGGAAAATCTAGCTAGGCTTTGCGTAAAATTTGGGGGTCTAAATCGAACAGGCCCTATTGCTGAATCCAGATCAGCTCAAGATTACGCCTGGAATTTGTTCAGAAAAATTATCTGGAATCTAGCGAGGATCTATAATTTTCCTAGATATTTGCTTGGTTTGTATCATAATTATTTCTATAATCCAGTCTGGTCCAGGCTTGAATCTGAAATTTTTCCCTAAAATATTCCCTGGAATTCCAGCTCGGCTTCAACTTCATTTTCTCTTTCATTTTTATAAGCGCTAATTTCATAATTTTGTACCATGTGTGAATCACTCTCGGACTCAGAATTTCCATGTGCTTCGGCTTCTTCGTATGCAACTTCGTCATTACTGGTAGTGTGATAATAATTATCGATGGTTATATTACTGCCTTGCACATAATTGTTAACCTCACTATCGGTTTTCATTATTAGACACATTCTTTTTTCTAATTTTGTTTTCACGTAATATTTGCGTTTCCTCAACAATCGTGAGTACATCCATGTATCTTCGATGTCACTCATTATCTCGAGTGTCTCAAAACTACAATTGTGACCACTAATTAAGAAGACAATGTGTATAAGACAATTCAGGAAAATTGACACAATTACTTAATTATGCGTATATTGTATATTATACAGCGTAAATTTTATTTTGGGGAAAACTAGGTAAATTTCAGGATTATATTCTGGACCTATTTAAAGCTAAAGGGTATTTAAAGCTAGATTATCCAATCCAGGCTCCATAGTTTCATGTCTAATTTGGGAGAAATCTGTCAGTGGCAATCTAGGACCTATGTAGATTTTCCCGACTATTTTTTCTCTCGGTAAAATCAAGGTAAATTTCTAGGGTGTATTCTGGACCTAGACGGATATTTCAAACTAGATTTTTCTACCCACGCTCTGTACTTAATCTCGACAAATCGAAGCAGATTTCTACTTTGGTCGTGCTAACAATACAGCTTACATAGTCTACTAAAAAAATTTTTTCTAATTTTAGAAGATAATATTCATTTAGATAACGATTCATTAGACATTTTTGTTTATGAAGTTTAACGAATGGAAAAATATTTCGAATAATTCTTTTGAATTCTAGAACATGCGAAGGTTCTTCTAAATTTCTTCTAAGACATAATATACGTGTACATGTGTACGTGATAAATCATACAATTAAAATTAATTAAATAATTAATAAAAAAAAATTACAAGTTTTTATTCGTTTTATTTTCCAATAAACTGAAGAGCGTTCCTTCACTTGGCTACTAGTATTATCGTGATTTGAAAAAATTTAACCAAAATTAGCGCTAATTAATGTTATTTATCCGGAGCATTCTAGAAACGATTTCCTAAATCTTTACTGAAAGAAAAAAAACGTCGCAAGAAGTTCGATATTTTTTGTCAAACAAAAATGTTTAAGTCTGCCGACTCATTGCCAACGTGGTGGATGTAAATATACTTATGTCTGCCAAGCAGACTCAACAGACACGAGTGACTTATAATACGTGTACGTACTCATACATGCTCATTCACGCAATGTGGTATATACTGTGAGCAACGGTGATATACATAGAGCTTCTAGTTAGCAGGGGGGTCAGTGTAAAACTGCCTTCTGTCCGTAACGTGTCGAACCATAGTCAGTCGAGTGAACTGTCGTACTGTTCCACCTTCTCGAAGAGCTTTTTAGAGAAAGAAAGCGCTTGGACTCCGGAAATCCTCAGATTTTCATATCACGAGAAGTAACGGCAGACCTTGAATCGCCTTATTTTTTTCTGCATAAAAAAGGTAAGTACAATGTTCTGAACACGTGTGTTCCTGTGTTCCTAATCGATTTTCACAACTTTCAATTTAAAACGAACTTAGTGTAGATCGTTAAAAATAAAATGTAATTAATTAATGACTATCGCTCTATTTAAGAGTAAGATTTGTGTCAAGCAATGTAATGGATATTTTATTCCATTTTGCACTTTGATAATTAATCTCCTCGCTAGATATTAGAGACGTAAGGGTCGATTTAACGTTGAAATAAATTTCATTGTAATAATTGTAATTAACATACGGAGGGAAGATATGGACTTTAGTTTATTTTGCGCTGGCAATCGACATAACTCAATTCAGTTGTAAATTGCGAAATAAAATCGATGGGAATTGTATTAGCGCGCGACATGTTTAGTCATTATGTTCTCTTTATTATCTGTACATGACAAATATAGGTCATACACGGGCGCACAAGGGAGCAGGGGCAGGAATTACGCGAGTTTATATGCACAGGACAATGCGACGTCGACAGGTCGCAGAGACTTATCGGCGAGCGTCATCGAGCGCGATATCGGGCGAAAGTGTATGTAGGCGTGCGTCAGCCGAAGCGTGATTATACATACGTGCCTGTAGAAAATTGTATGCCATAAATTTGTTGGGCTCCGAGGCCATGGCGCGCGCGTTACATGCGAATAAATCAATGCCGGCGGGCAGCTTGCGGGCGAAAAAATTCAATCAAACAAACAAACGTATCATTGGATGAATGCGCGAAACAAATGATTCGTCGACGGGCTTACGAGTTCAATATCGAAGATACTTGATACCGGAAATACCGGAGATATTTGTTTTGTGAAAAGTATTGATTGAAGAGAGGGAATGCGCAGCGTGGAAAAATTAATTAACGTTTGTTCCATTCAAATAATTAAATTAATTAAACAGACAATTCCGCCAATTAATTTTTTTTACATTGTTAGCGAAAATTTTGTTACACAATTCCCATGTTAGATCTTACAATTTCCAACGTAAAATTGATTATTATTTTATCTTGGAATTCTTACTCAAAATGTGTTAGCAAATATTACTCGCCATTAAACGTTACTTCTCGAAGTTTTCAGTACTGTTAGTTTTAGAATTTGCTCTTGACAAATGTTATATTCTTAGCATTTTTTTTCCAACATTTAACGTATAATTTCCAATAAGTGTTCTCATTAAAACATTAAAATTTAACTGATTACACTACTAATGTCATTGTTCAGTATTCTCTTATCATTTCTAGGGTAGCTTCAATAATTTATTCAGATTTAAAAATACTACGACATTGTATATTGACGTATAACACTAATGGAAATGTGAGAGAGTGACATGACGTTCAAGCCATCCGGAATAATACCACAATTTATCCTTTATTTCCGCGCGTATATCGTTTGTCATTCTTTGTGACCGTTAAGTGACCGCACCTTTCCTACTGATATGAAGACTTCGGACATATGAAAATAGCTTTTCCAGTTTTAGCACCACGGCCGTATTGCACGTTTGTACGAGCGAATTTATGTGCGCGCGCTGACGGTTGCATTACGTTATCTCAAAATAGTAACGATTAGCTTGAGCTCGCATCAACTGAATAATACCGCATTTTAAGTCAACTCCTTTCGCGCATGTGTACACTTTTTTTGCACATACACGCGAGCACCACACGTCACATTGATATTGTTTAATTAGTAAATTGTTAATTGTTAAATTATCTCTCCCGCTGTTGTACATTATGCAACTGTCTATTGTTTAATCGAATGTATTTGAATAAAACCACTTTTCATTTACTTGCATTAGACATCAAATATTAATTAACTGACAGCATAATTTTGCTGGCGAAATAATGCGACATCGTGCACGTAGCAAATTACGTGACGTCTACTTCACGAGAGTCGATTCAGATTTTGCACAATTTCCTTCGAATCTGCTCGAATCCCTCTCGTCAATTTTGTGAGCAAATATCGATTATCAAGATAAACTATCCTTCTAACGGCTTTAATTTCTCTCACAAGCTAGAATTGTTTCTAAACGATGCGATGCGCGTTCGCTGAAACATCGATACTGATAATGCCTAGCTGCAAATTTGTGGAGCGCAAACGCATTTTTCATACCGAGGGTTTCGAATGCGCGGTTTGCGCGGAAAAACGAGCCGGAGCAATGGATCTGCTTTATCTTCTCATGCGTAATCGGGCGCGCTTTAACGCGCATTCAAATATTAATCACAGACACGTTCAGATCGCTGTTTGTACAATTTTCGATCGTACAGATTTGCGGGAATGCGTTTGCAAAACTGTCTCGCCGGCGTAACGCGCGCCGTGTTTATCCGCCTCTATTAGCGTCGTTTTGCAAAATGTGTCTGACGGTCGTGCTGTGTCATGCCGCGGGAAAAAGAACGCCTACGGAGGATTTCGCAGCCGAAGAGGAGCCGTCGCTACGTGACGTTTCCCGACATCTATCGTCCCGTTCCGTCCTCTCGGCCCCGCTTTTCTCCGGATCTGACGCCTCGGTAGTTGGCCCTTTCGAGATCTCGAGGGAAACGTGCGGTGCATGTGTCGCGTGCGCTTTCGTGGCGCCGGGAATCTTATTGAATCTGCTGTAATCCCCGGCGCTCGACGTGTATTCGGATGCTTTTGACAGCGCTCCGGCTCCGCTCTCGCGGCCGGATCGATGACATGACGTAACGACGGCTTTCTCAGAACGATATCGATTTTACGACGTCCACCGTAGGCCTTATGGTAGTCCCGATAAGCGAGCTTTGATAGAGGAAACGGGGAATTTCGTGTGTGCGTGCGCGCGCAAGTGCACGACGCTTCTCGTAATTATTGCTGAGTCATTTACAGCGAAATAATTCTGCGGCGCTCGCGGAGCGTGCGAGTGACAACTCTTTCGATGCGAAATATTCACACGGCGCCAATAGTCATTGAGAAATTTCTATTATCGCTCGTATAATTAAATACATAAATATGTACGCAACTTTCCAGTCAGACCTTAGGTTTGCAATTAGCGTGAGTAATTTCAGAACTATCGATCCGCCTGGCGGTTCGCTGAGCGTGTTGTAACAGCGTGTTGTAGGTTCACTGCAGTATACGGGAAGGGCGAGCCCGTATAATTCGCGATATATATATATCTAAGTGGCAACCAGAAAACAAGTAGGCAGAATCGAACGACTAGTCAGACCTGTGCTTTCGCGCGTTTCGCGCTCCGCCGATTTCCAGAAGTTCGTCACTCGCTTATGCGGAAGCGTAAAAGATTTTTTGACAGAGGAGCGGAACGAATTATCGATCGTAGCGGTTGAAAGGTTTCCGGTAGGTGTAATTACACTTCCTGTGTTCGGATAATCTTACGGCCCGATAAGCGGTATCGCTCTCAAGCGTCTTTCGTGACATTCGAGTTTTGTGTACCCACGCATTGATGAACATCGGATGATATCATCTAGAAGCGATACGATTGCGTGTCAACATTGATACTGTGCGATACCAAGCCGCAGCATCCGCCATTATCAATTTGTTCGTGAAGTAAAATTTGTTTTGCAGTTTCGATTTTGCGTACATCTAAATAAATATTAATATCAATTTTTCTTTTCAAATATTTAAATAAATATTGTATCGATTGCGCGACGGTCTTATAGACCAAAGGTCTATCTTGTCTTGCGTTAGTTTCTCACGGTGTCATATTCTTAGATTTCTATGTAGATGCTATTGATCGATATCAGATAATAATGCTTTAATATTGAGTAATAGTGCCTTACTATGTAAAGTACACCAACGTGTCTTCCTTGGCTCTATCTTCTTAAACTATTTCGAAGTTAATTTTACAAGAATTTGAATAAATATTAAGATATAAAAACTATTTCCTTTTCAAATATTCAAATAGAATTAATAATAAGATAGCAATTAATAAAAATTAAACAGACTAATTAAAGCGATTAGTTTATCGAGAAATTGAGCTTCCATCACTTTGAAAATAATTTAACTCAGTTTTATCATAAATTATAAAGTCCTACAGATAGTTATTTGTTAGATACTTTCATCGGACTTTATGTAACGAAAAAACACAATTATATGCAAGAAGTTGTAACAATAAGGAAACGTGAGAGAAGAAGTGTACTCAAGAATGAGCAAAAAGCACTCGGTCTCCAATATTTCTGTAAACATTACGCGCCTATATTCTTATCAATATTACGTAAGATTTCTATTAATATATCACCTTCGTCCATAAAAAAATTGGCTTATAAGAATTAAAAACAAATGAGCTTCATTTCTTAGAAAACACAAGAAATAACGATCCAGCTATAGTTTGCGTGAATCACAGGTGAAGTGTGAAATATTACTGCGATTCTCTGTGTAAGATACTCAATGTAAATACACTTTCTCTGCAAAGTATCGCGATCCTAAAGCTACGAATCCTTTCGTGCCTGCATAATTTGCAATATATACACGTATATATGTATATTTACGAGGCATACGGATGTCCCTCTTAATGAAGGAGTGAAACAAGCGAGGGAGAATGAGCCAATTGTCTTGCCTCTCGCGTTTTCGCGAGATATCGTCGCAACGCGCGAGAAGAGAAAATTGCGCCAGGACTACGTAGACGCTGATAGGATACGTTCATTGAAGAGAAAATATGACGGTCCGCCAATATCCTCCCGCGCTCCCACCATTTCTTCAACCCCGTTGACGAGCATTATGAGTTTTATCATGGGGCTTCTTCCATTTTACCTGATAATATCGAGGCGCTCCGTTGCTGCTTAAGGGCTCGAGTCCTTTGTGACTGGAGACGGATGATTAAAGGGCAATGTACGAGCTACCTTGCCGATCGCGGTTTTATCATTTATGAACAGATTGGAATTATCGATCTGCGATTAATTATGCAGCGAGCGCCGAGCGCGAAAATTGTTGCTTAAAGCGCGTTGATTAAACGTATAAATAGATGATGCGCTCTTAAGCACGAGAGATTCCCCGTGATTTCCCTCAATATCCTCCCCTCGGCCAGTCGGGATCCTGAAAAGGATTCCGCTCGCGAGACTTTACTTAATACGTCCCAGCGCCCGTAAGAGAAACGGCCAACAATGCCGCGCGCGACTGTACGAATGGGGCGACGCCGCGACAGAAATTGAAAATGCGGGGAATGTCGCGGCGTGTTTTGTCCGTCCGGCGAGATTTCTAGCCGCGATGTTTAACCGAGATATTTCCAGATAAAGAAGAAGGGAAGATCGCTGCGCTCTACATTTTCTCACGGCGGAGATCCCCGGTGTCTAGACGCGCATCCCTCACGTATTTCACGGCCCCCGGGGGCGTTTGCGGAATTCTTGTTTGCGACGAGGGACCCGGCGGAGAGGCAAGGAAACGGATGAAATTCGCGCGGCGGAGAAGCGACGGACGTCGAAGGCTCGTCGCCCACTTCTTCGCCTTCTCGCGCGCCGGGGGATGACGCAAAAGTTCGGAATACAGCCCCGAGGTGGCGAGCGACGGCGGAGATGATTGATAGCAAAGAGCGTGCGGCGCGCACCACGCGCACCACAATGGCGGGAGGGGGACAGAAATATGAGACCGGAATAAAATTCATGGCCGTTGCCAGGGGAGACGTTAGGCCGCGATTGAGATGCAAATAAGAACGAGACACCCGGTAGCGACGACGACTTCGCGGCATCTCTCCCGTAACTCGTTCGCCCCGACGGCGCGCGTTTGCGGAAGGGAATTTTTTATGAGCTCGAGAAGTCGCTATCTGTGTGTCAAAGTTCCGGGAACTTTGGAGATTTTTTTTCCACGGCGGGACGCGCTTGACAAAGATCTCTATCCATATCGCAAATCAACTGTTTACCTGAAAGCGGCGGAAAGAATATTTTACGAATACTTTAGGAAAGCCCGCTCTTCCGCGAGCGGTATGCGCGTGCAAATCAATACGCATTGCGCTTATTTTAACTCTCAGCAGACATGCGATAATTTTCTGCTCCACCGTCTCCATTTTTCTCGTCCCTAATTCAGTGGAATGATCATAAAATATGTTCTTTTGCAAATAATTATATAGACAATTTTTAAACACATATAAAGGAATGGCTCAAATGATAACAATCAAT